GGAGTAGTCATAGTAGTGGGTTTAGTATTATTAACTAACATTTATTGAATGGTTACCCATATCACCTCGAGTGCTTGACACATAAGACCTTATTCACCTTTGGAACAACCTGTGTCATAGGTGTCATTAATCCCATTTTACTGAGGAGACTGCACATCACAGAGCATCAGGGACTTGCCTATTAGGCAGGTTAGAGATGAGATGTGAATCCAGGTAATCTGACTCCAGGAGCTCCACCCTTAATCTCTGTTGTCTTTTTCTGTGTGTGTGTGTGTGTGTGTGTGTATGTGAAGGCTGACAACTGCTTAGCACTTGAGATCTCTGTAAATTGAATGGGTTCTCTGCAGAAGCATTATGGCATAAATGGGCTTGGTCAGATGGGGTGGGACAGACTACGTGTTCTGGCTTGGTGGATTTCATGTATTCTCTGTGTGACTGCTAGACCCAGGGGCTTAGCAGGGGCAACAGCAGGCAACCTGACCTGCACACCCTGCCTTTCTTTTGGGCTACCCCTCTGTGGTTACAGGAGAATGCCAAAATCACCATGATTAGAACTGAGATGTCATCACAACAGGAATATCTTTGGGAACTTTTTTTCCCCCTCCAAGACACTTTAATTAAATTCCCATCATGAAAACAATTAGGCAAGATTTGCCATACCTAACCGGTCAATAACTCAAGGATAGGATCTCATTAAGAGCTTTCGCTTTCCTGGAAACTGCCATTTTGAGGATTCAGAGCTGGTGGCTGCGTGCTCTGGGAATTAATTTATCCATATTTCCTCTGAGCTTTTTTTTTTTTTTAATTTTCCCAAATCCAGAAGGAAACACATTTTTAAATGACCTAAAAGTAGGAGACGGATTGTACACACCGCCATTCACTTTCACAAAGGTGTTCCTAAGTTTGAGGTGTTCTTTCCCTGCCACGATTCCATTGTCTTCTGTGTTGACTTACGCCTGCCTGTGGACAAAGCAATAGATGTGGCCTGGATACAGGCACCACGTGAGTGAGTGAGCCTCCTCTTTTAACATAGTTTTCCAGATACTGTGGTGTCTTATTTCTTAGCCAGGTGAGGGCTGCCCCTTACTGATGTCAGCAGGTAGAAATCTTGAGATACTTGATTCAATTTCCCTGACAAAATTATTGAGATGAACTATAAATTGGCCCATTTTTTTTGCTTCCTTCTCTTCTGCACCCACTTTCCTTCTGTCCGTGCTTTTGTTCCTAATGCACTATTGATCTTCCACCAGGGGCTAGCCATTGAAGTTGCCATTGAGGCAATAAAAAATGTACAAATAGAACTATCTAGAAAAACCGTTGACATCATCTAGTAAAGACAGACCCAGAAATTCAGCTGTTAGGTAGTCTAGAGGCACTTGTGTACATATGTACCTGGATGCATTATAAAATGTTCATCTTCAGTAGAATGGACAAATAATTGAGAGTATTTTCAAACAGTGGAACACTATGCAGCCATGAAAATGAACAAACGACAGCTACATGCAATAATATGGATGAATCTCAACTGAGCATGCAGGGTTTATTGTCTGTGACTTAGTGAACAGTCAGTGACTAGATCAGCATGTGTTTAGGAAACTGGCTTTGGGCAGTGTGGATTATAGAGAGTCCACGATGGAGACAGAGATCCCCCTGAGAGGTAGTTGTGGTCCTGGAAAGAGAAAATTGCTATGCTAACCCCTGGCATTCCCAGTAGCAGGGGAGAGAATGACACGGACTGTTGAGAGACGTTAGAAGAAAAATAAGTACAGTCTGGTGACTGATTAAATGCTTGGGTTGATTAGAAAGGGAGTTTACTTCCATGTCGCTGAGGCCTCTAATATCATAGACTAGGAGGATGATGGTGTCTTTAACGGATGTAGGAGCAGGCCTGGGGTTTTGAAGCAATGGATACTGAATCTACATGCAACCAAGCTACATGATCTTGAACAAGTTATTTATCTTCTCTTTACACAATTTCCTCACATATAAAAAAGAGAAAATGTTTTAAGAGTAACAACCTCAGGGACGCCTGGGTGGCTCAGTCAGTTAAGCATCCAACTTGGGCTCAGGTCTTGATCTCATGGTTTGTGGGTTTGAGCCCCGTGTTGGGCTCTGTGATGACAGCTCAAAGCCTGGAACCTGCTTCGGATTCTGTGTCTCTCTCATTCTCTGCCCCTCCCCTGCTCACACTCTGTCTCTCAAAAAATAAAATAAACATTAAAAATTTTAAAAAAAGTAACAACCTCAGAAGATAATACAGTGTCTGATACATAATACACTCTATTATATGGTTTTTGAAGAGTAAAAGTGACCCTGGATATATAACATCGTGTGATTCAATCCTTTCTTTAGACCTAACAGAGATAAAAGATAGATGTAGGAAAACTTGAATCATCTTTATGTCTCTTGAGTGAAACAAACACTACAAGTTTGGGGGCAGTAGAAAATCTTAGAACAAAAGGCACAAAAACCAGAGGTTATATAGTGCTGGAAAGGGAAAGCCAAGGAGGTGACTTAATGAGATTTTAAGTGAATGGTAAGTCAGAAGTTAGCATGTACTTTTGCTGAGAATGGTTCTTGGGAGCACAGAGCCTTTAAAAGAATAACTTTTTGTTTATATATAAATGATTTTCAAGTCCTTACTATTTGGGTGATTGCCAAGTAATATATATTATAGAAAATTAGTAAAAAGAACATAAGGAGATAACACCCATGATTCTAATGTCCAGAGATTCTTTTCATATTTCAGCTCTGTCCATTCATCTTTCTATTCGTCCATCTGTTTTTCTTTCTCCTTCTCCTTCTTCTTCTTCTTTTTAAAGAGCTGAAATTAATCTGTATATTGTTGTATAACCTGCTGTGTTTTGCACAGGAGCTTTAAAGAAGGCTTATCTAGCATGAGGGATTTAGGTTAGCTATGTGTAGTAGGAAGAAAATGTCTGATGTGCTTTGTCAATGAATTACTGAGGGAAAGTGCAACATTTCCTTCTCTGGCAGTCTTAAAATATACTAGGATAAACTCTCATTTCAGTGATGGTAGGGCATGACCCTGCTTTACTGCCCTGTTATTCTTTGATATGTGGGCAAACCATGAGAGTGCTTTTCTGCACACTTCCATCTCCCAAAAGTAGCAGAAAGAAATACTGGTTAGAATATGATGTAAGAGAGACTTTTATTAATCCCTCACCTACACTTGCCTTGAGGACTGAAGAGTTTATCTCTCCCAAGAGTGTAAGACTGCTCAACTTTTCATTTTTAAATATTAAAATCACTGTAAAATTCTACTCTGACTAATCTAGAATAAAGACAGGAAAGATTAGTGTCACTAGGATGTAGTTTTACATGAACAAATCATTTTAAATAGGCTTAAATCTAAGAGGTGGAGGCTGCTTTGCCTAGACAGACTATTTGCCTAGACTGTTTATGTCACATTGGCTAGGATAGCTCTGTGTGTGTGTGTGTGTGTGTGTGTGTGTGTATGGGAGGAGGGAGGAGAGGAGAGAAAGAGGAATCTGAAGGCTTCTTTTTACCGATTGCACGATTTGCATGTAGAGGCTACCGCTACTAGAGAATTAGACAGAAGGTCTAATAAGAGTTATGATAACTTTGATGTGGCTCTTCTTGACTTTGTACTCACCTGCAAACTCTTAACTAGTTCTAGTGTTCTCCCAAAGGCAAGTTGGTCCATAGATTGGTAAGGTGGAACATCCTTGGGGAAGTGAGGGCCTGGGGGTAATTCTGCCATCTTTCTGATGTCACTCTCAAATGTTCTCTGTTTTATGAAATAGAGATAATTTAATATTGGTAGAACTCTAAATAGCAGAGTGGCACACCTTATCTCAGCCCCCCTCCCCTCCAATCAAGGCTTGAAGAAGTCATCTTAGGCTTCTGACTTTCTAGTCTCTGTCTCTACTGTCTGTCTCGCTCCCTCTGTAGTAATAATGGCTAACATTTAATGAAGGCTTGTTGTGTCTGAGGAACAGTTCATATTTACTTCTCAAGATAGTTGTGAATGAAAGATACTATGAATATTCCCATTTTTACATATGAGGAAACTGAGTTAAGAGAGTCTTAGTAATCTAACCAAAGTCCTACATCTGATAATTATCTCAGATTCAATTTTAAAAGGCCATTTTGCAGCATGAAATGAATATATATATATTCATAATAATATATACATATATTTTAATTGGAATTAGTTAAGTTTATTGTGAGTCAAGAACAACATTTTATTTATGTATTAAAAATATTTTTTTTAAATGTGTATTTATTTCTGAGAGAGAGGGAGAGACGGAGCATGGACAGGGGAGGAGCAGAGAGATAGGGAGACAGAGTCAAAAGCAGGCTCCAGGCTCTGAGCCGTCAGCACAGAGCCCAACGCGGGGCTTGAACTCACAAGCCGTGAGATCATGACCAGAACTGAAGGCGGATACTTAACCGACTGAGCCACCCAGGCTCCCCAAGAAGAACAACATTTTAAAGATAGAGTACAGATCTCCTGACTATCACAATTTTATCATGGGATTATGTAGTCTTAGCTATGACTAGACATCCTGTATTCTGCAGTAGTTACACTTAGAATAATGAAGCTATATATATTTTCTTTTTTCTCTTGGCTTAATTGGCATATAACATAGTGTAAGGTGTACAACATAATTTTATATATGTATGTATTGCAAAATGATTACCATAATACGCACCCATCACCTCTCACACAATTATTTTTGTGTGTGATGAGAAAATTAAAATTTACTCTTTTAGCAACATGAAATATTCTTAACTTGAATAAAACAATTGCTTATATAAACTGTAAATCTCTTTTTAACAAAACTTTTGTTGTAACAGGCAGTTATTGAATTATTATGGATATTGTTTTGTGTTGACTTTAAATGGTAATGCTTTGGGAAATCTCTGTAGTTTAAATATCCAAATGTAGAATGACATCAATGATTTTTTTTTTTTTTTTTTTTTTTTTTTTTTTTTTTTTTTTTTTTTTACAGGACAGAGTTCATTCAGAGAGGCAGAATTTCAATTACAGGGGCTGGCTTTCTCAACTGCATTTTGGAGACTTTTGCCAGCACATTCTTAAGACAGGGAGCCCAGAGGGTAAGCTTGTTTTTACTTTGAACCAATATTTATTTTAAGAAATCATGAAGATTCCCGTTGGGTTATTGAATAAGGCTCCTGAGCAGACACGATGAGAAAAAAATACAGTTTATAAACAAACAAATAAAAAATAAACAAATAGATGCAAAAATAAGTATCTTTGCTAATTATTGCATACATCCAAATCAAAGTAAAACTTAAATGCCATTTGTGACCCATTAAATTAAAACTATGCCAGTAAAGAATATGTAATAATATGGAGAACTAAGAGATATAATCAGAATGAGTAATTACATTTTCAGTATATTCAGTATGATGACACCCATTTAGTGAAAAAGATAATAGCTAGTATTTATTGAGCACTTATTATGAACTACTCACTGTAAAAAGAATTTTTATTTATTATTTAATACAAACCTTTGAAGTAGCTATTTTTGTTGTTCTGTTATTATGGATGAAGAAGATACAGAGACCTTGAGTTCCTGGGTGTCACTTCTTGTGTTTTTCATATTCTGTGGGAGTTTAGGGTTCCATGAAGGTGATTTAGAGACCACCTTAGAGTCTAAGGTTGGTACCCTGTTTTAAATAGAGCTATTCTTGGGGCACCTGGGTGGCTCAGTTGGTTGTGCATCTGACTTTGGCTCATGTCATGATCTTGTGGTTTGTGAGTTCAAGCCCCGCGTTGGGTTCTGTGCTGATAGCTGGGAGCCTGGAGCCTGCTTCGGATTCTGTGTCTCCCTCTCTCTCTGCCCCTTCCCCAGTTGTGCTCTGTCTCTCTCTGTCTCTCAAAAATGAATAAATGTAAAAATAAAATAAAATAAATAAATAGAGCTATTCTATTTTTAATCTGTCTTATATAGAGAAATTTATATGTCTCATTTTCTTGCCTTCACAGCATTATTTTCAAAATGTCTTTAAGGTAAAGTCTATTCCTTATGCATTATGATATGCTTATTCCAGGTGTTCTGAAGTATTGAGAAATTATTATTTAATTTTTATTAACTTGTTTTATATATAATATTGTACTTTTAAATTGTTGTTGTTGTTATTGTGATAAGGGGCATAATCACTTACTTCCTGGATTTACTCAGGACATATGCTATGCATATGTTACCTTGTTTTGTCTTGTAGAATAATAGGTTTAATGGCTGGTCTGAAGGAATATTGTTGTGGCTCCAGAGATTATCTGGGTAACAAACCTTTGTTCTCGCTTTGCAGATCTAGGTTCAAGAATGAGCCTGGACCATGATGTGTTAGTCTGGGAGTCTGAGGATGATGAACGAGCGTTTGATACTGTACTGTACTCCATAAACATACTGTCAAGATTAATGGTGTATTCCTGTCTCAGAAATGCACATATCTAGACTGGCCCAGCCTGTTGAAGCTGGGCTTGAAGTGGATAGCTGGGCTTCTAGAAGGTCTGATATGACCTTACTCACTCACACATGATTGGAAGTTTTTCTGCTATATTGCAAAGTATGCCTGTGTAAAAACCCACATGTTGTGCAAAATTGCACCATGAAATTAATGGGTCTGATGACAGAAATAATTTCACTGCCATATCCCTGAGTATCATACACTTTTTTGATCAAGATTGAGAAAAATTTTCTGTAAAGAACCAGATAGTAAATACGTTAGGCTTTGTGGGCCAAGAAGCAAACTGGAGATATTATGTTGGGGCTTTATAGCAAGAGAGAAACAAGTTTCCATAATTTTTTTTTGTTTACAAAATTAAAAATATAATAATAGTTGAATTTTTTTTGTAATATAGTTCTTCGGATCAGAAAAATGGGATTCCATTTTGTGGGAGAACATAACGTTTAGCTAAATTGTGATTCAGAGTTAGTGTTCCCTACCATCAAATTGCAAATGTTCATTTGTGAAAACCATTCTTGTGGATCACACAAACACTGGTGGTGGACTGGATTTGGCCTGTGGGCTATATAGTTTGCCAACCCCTGCTTTAGATAAATAAATAGTCCTTGATTAATTCAGATGGGTTTATGTTCGACCTGTCCATCAATCTGAACCTTGTAATGACTTTTAACCATACAGTGGTTGTGGATATTCTGATCCTGTGCGATGCATAAAGTGAACATTATTAGTCCCATTTTATCGACGAGAAATGTCTTGGAAGAGTTAAGTGCACCTAATATGTGGGTGGCTGCTTGTCTGCCTTTTTCTTACACGTATACGTGGAGCACCTGCTTTTTGCTAGGCTCTGTGGTAAGCATGGGCTTTTAAATGGATTTACTCAAGGTCATAAGGAGAGCAAAAGGTGGAGTCTGAACTCACATCCCCATGTTTTACAAGTCTTAAAACTTGTAAACAGTTGAGCCTTGCCACTTTACTCTGCAAGATTTTTCAGATAAACAAAGCAGATGGTTTGCCCACTCAGCACCTTTGCTGTGTATCAGATGCATTTGTGTGGTAGTCTTACTTTCTCTGTAGTTATTAGGACTCTTTGGTTATAAGTAATAGAAACTACTTTAGGCTAGCTCATTCATTGTAATGGTACAAGGGCCGTGAGGCGGGCAGGCTTCAGAATGGTCTGCCCTGGGACTGAGAGATGCCAGGAACCCAGATACTATTCCTTCTTCAGCACTTGTCTATAAGAGTATGCATCTGTTGTATTCTCTTTCTTATCATGTGGGCCTCTGTAGTCCAGGTGTACATCTTGTATAGAGTTTTGGCCAACCAAGAGACTGTCTGCTTATTTCATTCATTTCCAAATTCTTTGGAAGGGACTCTTGTTGGCATTTCATAGGTCAAGCGTAGCCAGGAGGGTAGACGTCAGGTTTTACGAATATGGCTCATCCCAGGTTGTGACCGGATTGGGTGGGAAGTCATGTCCCAGGGAAAAGGGTGGTGGGATGGGTAAATACTCCCAAGGGTTTCTGGCGTGATCTCACAGTAGATTGTATGTTCTTGATGGCAGAGAGGGGGTTTTATGAATCTTAATTCCAATTCCCCTCAACCCATCATAGCTTGGGCAGCGGTCCTACATTCATGTGGAAATGGGTAGAAAGGAGATAGAATGCACAGCTATATCTCATTTGGTTTCTGATGAGCATTATCTGGAAATCATCAAGTGGATTTAAATTTTTTAAGTTTATTTATTTACTTTGAAAGAGACCTGGGCAGGGGTAGACACAGAAAGAGAGAGAGACAGAGAGAGAGAATCCCAAGCAAGCTCCACACTTCTAGCTCAAAGCCCGATGCAGGGTTTGAACTCAAGAACCGTGAGATTATGACCCAAGCTGAAATCTAGAGTCAGATGCTTAACCAGCTGAGCCACGAGGCACCTGCAGTGACTTTAAATTTTTAAAGTGAGAAACCCAAGTAATTCCTGCGTATTCTTGCTTTTGCTCAGAAGTAAGAATATATTTTTCCTGTGAGTTTTTGCCTTTTCTGGCTTTCCTCTTTTTTTTTTTTTTTTTTTTTTTTTTTTAAGAGGCTTAATGGGTTAGCTTTTCAATCTTAGAAGCCACTTGTGCTAAATGGTCTTTTACCTTTTAGCCAAGTGGGGATGTTTTCCGGTATCAGCCTGACTTCCTGATAAACCTTCACAGTTGAGCCTGCATAAATGGCTTCTATGGAAGTGATCCTGAGAGTGTTTTAGGTGAGTTTATTTAGGACTTTATTCTTGAGACTGTTTAGTGATGGTAAAGGTGGGATCTGATATCTATTTTTTTCTAGAAAAGGCAAAATGAGACACTTGCAAATTAAGTATCTTTATGTTTGTAAATTAAAAGCTGGCCCTAGATATGAACCCCCGAGGTGAGGTCACTTGTATTTCTGTGCCTCTGGTGGCTTGTGCAATTATTTTTCTCTCCTCCTTTCACTACTTTGAGGTGACATACAATTTGGGGGCCCTTCTAACACAAATGCTGACTTTTCATATACTGCTCGGACTTCCCTTTTCTCTGAGAATGGAAGTATGTGGGCAGGAGAATGGAGATTGCCCCCTGGTAGCCAAGTCAAGAGCTATGCTTTTGAAATAGAAGCTGTTCTGAACTTATAGCCCACTAAAGCTCATCTTTGTAATGTGGCACAAATCACTTTATTCCCCTGATCCTGTATGTACTTGTCAACAAGATGGAAACTTTAATGCATTCCCGAAGATAGGTGTGAAAACTATGTTTGAAAGCTTTCAGTAGATTGAAGAACACAGGTCAAATATATGTAAGGTGTTATTTTTGTTTTCAAGAATTAAAAAAAAAACCTACTCACATACTTCCTTTTCATACTTTCTTTTTATGGTTGCATGTTTGTTTGTTTTCCAAACCCATATGAACACCCAATAGATTTTAAACTCAGAAGTGTAGTTCCACAAACAGTTTGAGTATCACCTATGTGCCAGGCATTGGGTAAGGTGCTGGAGACACAAGCAGGAATGAAACAATTCATAAGAGTGGATGCTGTGCCTTATACAGCTTTACTTCACAGATTCTAGCTCAGGGTGGAAGGCCTGACAGGCAACGAATAAACATCTGCTGATGGTGAGAATTATTGAACCCCATGTGGTGGTCAGTGCTCAGCACTATGATCATTGTTGGGAAGGATTTTCAAATAACAACTGGTACTTACAAGAGCTTACTTGATGTCATGCCCTACGCATGGCACACATTACCTTAATTACTTTTCTAAACAAGTCTATGACATAGGAACTCTTCTTCCTCTTTCATTCATGGGGAAACTGAGGTCCCAAATGACAAAGCAGTTTTCTCAAGGTCACAGAATTAGTGGGTGGTGAACTTGGGATTTGAACCCAAACCTCTCTGACTCCAGAGTGTACTGTTAATGAATACCACGCTGCCACATCCACGCACTCTGCCCTCAAGCAGCCACTTGTGTGGGGCCAGATGTGGTGTGCTCGATAGAGCCAGAGCAAGGAGTTGTGGGGTTTACAGTAAGGATGGAGGAATGCAGAAGCACGGAACTCAGTTGCCGTGGAAGGACTTGGAATGGACTAGAGGGACGAGGGGCCATGATGTTGG